AAGCATTGTATAAATATGACGCACAAAGCACCCATTCTGGTGTGTATCCCAGTTGCTAAAGTGACAAATAGATTTAAGGAATTAGATCTGACAGAGTGCCTGAAGAACTATGGACCGAGGTTTGCAACATTGTACAAGGGGTAGCAACTAAAACCATCCCAAACAAAAAGAAATGAAAGAAAGCAAAATGGCTATCTGAGGAAGCTTTGCAAATAGCTGAGGAAAGAAAGGAAGTGAAAGGCAAGGGAGAAAGAGAAAGATACAACCAATTGAATGCAGAATTCCAGAAAACAGCTAGAAGAGATCAGAATGCCTTCTTAAATGAACAGTGCTAAGAAATATAAGAAAATAATAGAATATGGAAGACCAGATATGGAGATATGAAGGGAATGTTTCATGCAAAGGTGGGCATGATAAAAATGGCAGGGACCTAACAGAGGCAGAAGAGATTAAGAAGAGATGGCAAAGTTACACAGAGGAACTATACAAGAACGAGCTTAATGTCCCTGATAACCAAAATGGGGTGATCACTGACCTCGAGCCAGACATCCTAGAACCGTGATAGTGAACCTATGGCAATCGTGCCACAGATGGCACATGCTAGTTGTTAGCGTGCACTAGCCAGCTGATTTTTTGCCCTCCCCAGACTTCAGGAAAGCGTCTGGAAGCTGGGGAGGGCGAAAAACGGCCCCAACAGGCCAAACGGAAGTTTATTCCCCAAAACAGCCTCCCCCAGCCCCCTGGGAAACAGATTGTTTCCACACTTCTGGTTGGCTCTTTGGTGGCGTTTTTTACCCACCCCAGCCTCCAGAGACTTTCCTGAAGTCTGGGGAGGGTGAAAACTGGCCCCAAAATGCCAACTAGAAGTTTGGAAATGATCCTTTTCCTGCTTTCAAGGGGCCGAGGGAGGCTGTTTTCGCCTTCCCGAGGCTTCAGGAAAGCCTCCGGAAGCTGGGGTGGGGAGTCGTGCACAGGTGGGCGGGAAAATTGAGTGGGCACACGGACGCGATAGCATGCATGCTCACAATTTTGGCACTCCGTAAGAAAAGGGTTCACCATCACTGCCATAGAATGTGAAGTCAAATGGGCCTTAGAAAATCCGAGCAACAACAAAGCAGGTGGAGGTGACAGTATTCTAGCTGAAATATTCAAAATCTTAAAAGGCAACACAGTAAAAGTGCTACCACTCAATTTGCCAGCAAATTTGGGAAACTCAGCAATGGCCACAGTATTGGAAAAGGTCAGTTTACATTCCAATTCCAAAGAAGGGCAATGCCAAAGAATGTTCAAACTATTGCACCATTGCACTCATTTCACATGCTAGTAAAGTTATGCTCAAAATCCTACAAGCTAGGCTCCAGCAGTATGTGGATCAAGAACTACCAGAAGTACAGCCAGGATTTCGAAGAGGCAAAAGAACTAGAGATCAAATTGCCAACATACAGTGGATCATGGAGAAAGCTAGGGAGTTCCAGAAAAACATCTACTTCTGTGTTATTGACTGCTAAAGACTTTGATTGTGTGGATCACAAAAAATTGTGACAAGTTCTTAAAAGAGATAGGAGTACCAGACCATCTTGTTTGTCCCAGTTATAAACCCTTAGGATTTTCCCAGTTGCAATGTATGGCTGTGAAAGTTGGATCATAAGAAAAGCTGAGTGCCAAAGAATTGAGGCCTTTGAACTATGGTGCTAGAGAAGACTCCTGCGAGTTTCTTGGACTCCAGATTTTTTGAGGCTACAACTCTTATGTTCCAACCAACATGATTATAATTATGCTTGCTGGGAATTGTAATTCTTGTGCATTCTGAGAATGCTACTGGTCCTGTGCAAAATCATTCTGTCTCCAGAAAGGAAATGTTTTAAAAAGTTGTACGATGTTGCTCTGGGCCACTGCAAGAACAGCTGGATCAGCTGTTTGAGGCAGCATCATTATCTACAGTACCTAAAATGATGCAAAGTAAAGGCGGGATATAAATCTAATCATCAATTCATTTTCAGATAAATATTTGTCTCCCATCCTCTCATTAGGTCAGCAAAGGCTGGTCTAGCAGCCAAAAGCTAAATCATTGTAAGATACAGCAAGCATTATTGCCTCCTGAGAAAATCAATGTAATAGAGAAGATAATTTCATAGTTGCCTACCATCCTCTTCATATAACCAGCACTGTCAGTATAGTTCATTTATTTGAAAAGAGGCTTTTTATCTCATGTCCACATTGTCATTTCCAATTATGAGACAATTGTGCTTCATGTAACCTAAATGCAGATTGAGCTTAATATTATTCACTCTGCAAAGCATGCTTGAAAAGAGCACTTGTGAATCCTGAAATTCCTTCCTTTCATTAATTTTGAATTAGCTGCTGCCCAGAAAGTCCAATTACGCTTTCCATAATTTTTAAATATGGGCTGCTTATCTTGTTTCTGAATTTGTACAATGCTTGATGGAATGAATACATCTTCAAATAGAAGAGGCTATAGTTCGAAGAACCATGCAGGATTTAATCTCTAGTTGAAATAAATGAATATGTTGTTTATATTTGAATCAATAAAATCAGTCTATTTATTTATCAGCTTTCTTATAGAAAGTTGATTACAAATTCTGTCTTTAAAGTTGAATTCAGAAGTTGTATTTCTGGTAAATATTTTTCAATCAATATAAGAAATCATTGATAACACACTTACATAAATTCCTCTATAACTGTAGAATTAATGTGTTGTTTCTTCCTTCTCTTTTTTTAAAGGAGTATAAAGGAGGAAATGAAGCGTTCAAAAGAAAAAAGTAGGGTAAGATCTATAGATGCAATTGAAAGACCTATGTTTCTTTTTACTTGGAAACATAAATTAACTTT